AGCACCAACGTGGAGAAAAGGAGAAGCCAGGGCAGATTTGAGGATAATAAGGATGAGCAAGAAAACGTTCAGCACAAAAGCGTGGTCACTCTTTCACACAAAGGACATCGCATAGGTGAACACTTCCATTAGGATGCTCCCATGCCGTGGCTCTCCAGCCAGGACCCAGCAGTGCCAGGCACGGAGTTGCCTGCAGCACAGTGAACTCAAAACTCAGGTATGAACTGCTCGGCTGGAGCTGGGGAACGAGGGCTGCAGTGGGGCTGCAGCAAAGCACATCACCACGCTTGTCAGCGCCGTTGGAGGGTTTCCTCCTCTCTGGCACAACGTCGGCTACGTGGACGTTCCACACATTGTGCACGTTGGTTCAGTCTAAGCGTAGTAGTTGTGAATTAAGTTATCTGATGCTTCGCATGAAAACTTCAAAAAAGAGAAAAACAACCAACAACAAAAAGGGGGGGGGGGCGATTTTAACTGAGAAAAGCCTATGAAAATATACTGGAAATGTGGCAAAGAAATCAACATTCTGCTGTATATTGACAGAATTATTTTTATTAAAATACACATCCATGTGCAAGTGCTTGTGTGGAGCCGTGTGCTTTGTGGGGCTGCAGAAAAATGGGCCCAGCGCACAGGGAGCTCCATGCCTGCAGGAGCTGCTGGTGGGGCCTGGGGTCACAGAAACTGAGCCACACAACAGCCCGAGGTAGAGGCACCAACTCTGAATGCTGACACAGATGGAGGGGGGAATGGTGCCAGATCCTGCAACCACATCACAGAACCACAGAATGGGCCGGGTTGGAAGGGACCTCAAGGATCACGAAGCTCCAAAGCCCCTGCTGCAAGCAGGGCTGCCAACATCCATCTCTAATGCTACGCCAGGCTGCCCAGGGCCCCATCCAACCTGGCCTTGAACACCTCCAGGGATGGACGGGGCATCACAGCCCCTTTGGGCAGCTGTTCCAGCACCTCACCACTCTCCCAGTACAGAACTTCCCCCTGACATCCAACCTCAGTCTCCCCTCCCTCAACTTCAAACCATTTCCCCTTGTCCTGCAGTTACCTACCCTTTTAAATAGTTGATTCCCCTCCTGTTTATAGACTCCCTTTAAGGCTGCAATGAGGTCACCCCCCCGTTTTCATATCACAGGGTGTGCTGCAGCTCCCAGGTGGTTCGGGGGCCATAACAGCAGGGGAGCTGAGTCTGGATCTGATCCCAGGTCAGGAGGGGCAGGTACTGAAGGCAGCACCCAGCTTCTACATCAAGATCTACACCCAGGGGTGGCTGGGGGACCCACGTGGGGTGTCAGTGAGAGGGAGGGTGGGATGGGATGAGGAAGGGCAGGGCTTCTCAGAGAAGCAGAGAACAAGAAGAGAACAAGAGTTCCTTGAATTTCTGTCTGTATGGCTTCCCTGGAAGAAGAAAGGAGAAGAAAAATCAGATGTACTGATGACACTGTTATGGAAGAGGTGGGCAGCAGCCCATCAGACTGACGGCCCAGCACAGAGCTGGCCATGGCACCACCCAGAACCATCAAAGTTATCAGCTCCCAGCACAGCTTTAAGGTCATTTCTAGCTCTTCCTCACCTTTCCACAAATTCCAATGCCACTTTTCTTCCGGAAAAGGATTCCGCAGGCAGTTTTGCTCCCAGGTAACAGCAATAGAATGAGAGGTGGCAGCCTCATGAGGTGCCAGGGGAGGTTTAGGTTGTGTATGAGAAACAATTTCATCTCAGAATTAGCGTGTGTGGCCGCTCAGTGACAGCATCTTTGCAAACACACCTCACGAGCTCCCCTGCAGCTCCCTCCTCTGCATCTGCAAAGCAGGGCCGTGCACAGCCCTATCCCTGCAAAACCACTGCTGTGACTCGGATTCGAACCGAGGTTGCTGCGGCCACAACGCAGAGTACTGACCACTATACGATCACAGCTGCACATGGGAGGCAGTGCACAGGATTGAGCAGAGGGAGGAGAGAGCCCATGGGCTGGCTCTGGGGCAAGAGCATTGCAGAATACTGCAGCTACTTCCATTGAATCTGACATTGATCTGTTAGAATCACAAAAGCAGAAACAAATATTTCACCAGTTTTCTGTTTTTGTTGTTGTTAATTTTCAAACAAAGCAAGTCCTGCTACAGATAAATACTAGCTCTATAATACATTCTGTATCTGTCCCAAGGCAATTCCTGTTCATTCAGTGCATCCCAAGCAGGTTGGACTTTATTCCTTATTGGGGTTGTAGGAGCCATCTGCTTGGACTCCATGCTTTTGTCCCTCCCAGAATCGTTCTGGGATCTCCTCATCCTTGCAGATGTGATGGGTGTCCATGGTCCCTCCGCTGCCTTGCCCTTCTGCTTCCCTGGGGGTGATGCAGGGGAAGGAGGTGCTGAGGGATGGGGACTGCAGTCACATCCCTGGACTTTGACTGTGGGCCACGGCCTGCAAGCCTCCATCGCCTGGATGATCTGCTTCCTTTTCCATTCAAGCATCCTAATGGAGGCTGTTGGAGCAAAGCCCTGTCCACAGCAATGGCACTGAGCACACACTGCTGTGTAGGCCATGTTGGTCTGGGTGCTGGACGTCTGGGCCTGTCAGTTGCTCTCCAGGGCAGCCCTGCTGCTGTCCTGCCCCAGCACAGATCACCAGGATGGCTGCTCCGTGCCAAGGTGCTCCCCATGGCACTGCAGCTTCATGGCACAGATGTGGAGCTCCAGCATCTCACGCTGCTCCTCCAGCATGAAGGTGCTCTCCTGGCTGGGTAAGTACACAGGCACAGGTTGGCTGTGCGCTCTCAAGGAGTGCTCTGGGCAGGCAGTGCATGCCCCAGAATCACTATGTGGCCTCCCATCCTTGCTGATGCAACAGGAGTCCATGGTCCTTCCGCTGCCTTGCCCTTCTGCTTCCCTGGGGCTGATGCAGGGGAAGGAGATGGGGATCATCATCATGGCCTTGATTTTTGACTGCATTCTGATGGAGGCTGTCAGGGTGACGCTCTGTCCATGGCGTATGCTCAGTGCCAGCACTGTCCTTTGGGCTGTGTTGGCCCAGGTGCAGGAGTTTGGGGCTTCTTGCTTGGTCTCCAAGGCTGTCCTGCTCCTGTCCTGCCCCAGCACAGCTCACTGGGATGGCTGCTCCCTGCCACACGCTCCCCATAGAGCTGCAGCTCCTGTGTGGATGTGGAGCTCCAGCATCTCACACTGCTCCTCAGGCATGAAGGTGGTCTCCAATCTGGGGAAATACACAGACACAGGTCAGCAGTGGGCTGCTGGGGAATCCACTGGGCAGGCAGTGCATGCCATAAGCTGCTTCCACGAGGCTACAGCGGTCCTTTGGCGTTCATATGGCCTCTGGAGAGCTTTTTCAAGGAGCACTGCATTACCCCAGAGAGGCATTTCAGCTCTATCTGGAGGCATTTTCTGGTGGTGTGAAACATGAGTTTCCTGCATACCTCCTCCTTCAGCTGCAGCTTGGAGCGAGGGACAGGCACTGCAGCATGGACACATCTCCTCTCCCTGACTCTGTATCCACATGAACCCACTGGCACAGTCACAGCCAACCACCCTGCCAGTCCTGCAGACACACTGCCTGTGCTTGGAAGGGCTGGAGGCACCACAGGAAAGGGGAGAGGCCAGAAGGGTCCTTCTGCCTGAAGGTCAGCCTGCTCTCTCTTGGAAAAGACAGCTCCAAGGGATGAAGTTCCCTGGTGCTTGTGATCCAGGTGCTGGTTCAGGTGTGTGTGTGACTCCTGCCATTCCTCCCCAGGGTGCTCTGCTGCCCAGCCCTGACCCAGACCTTGTGGATTCCACGAGCTGTGCTCACCAAGGAGTCTCAGGTCCCAGACAGCAACAGAGAACATGGCACCACAAGGGCCAGGGACTGCTTGGTGGAGTTGGGGTCCTCACACTGCCTCTGGGCTTCTATGCCCACCAGGTTGGTGTCCACCTCCCCCTGCAGCCAGCAGCACTGCCTGTGCTGCAGCAAGATCTGCCTCTGCCCTGGGCAAACCAGCTTCAGCACAACAGGGTGGTGATGCAGCAGCACTTCCTCTTCCTGGGATTGCTGTACAGTCACGGGCAGAGCCCACAGGGCAATTGCCAGAGCATTCTGAGCCACATGCTTCTTTAGAGCCAAACTGGCTTCCAAGCCCAGCTTGAATCCGGAGCAACAAGACAGACTCCTCAGGGACTCTTCCATCAGATGTCAGAGGGACATTGCTGAGAATCTGGTCTTCAGCTCAGGAGCCACATGCTTGCTCACATGGCTCAGATGCTGCTGTGCATCTTCACCATCTCCACCATCTCCTCCATCTCCACCATTGCCATCTCCAACGACCTCCATGTGGGTACAGAAGCCTCCGTTCCCTGCAGCTGCCCCCTCTGCATTTGCAAAGTGCTGTCTGTGCACAGCCTGATCGCTGCAAAACCACTGCTGTGACTCAGATTCAGACCGAGGTTGCTGTGGCCGCAACACAGACTGCTCACCACTATAGAATCATGGCTGCACACTGGGAGGCCTTGCACAGACTTGAGTAGAAGTAGGAGAGCGTGCCAGCTGCAGCCACTGCACCATCCCCTCCCTCCAGCATGGAACAGGCTACCCAGCCCTGCCCTTTCATCTGGGTGGCAGCTTCAGCTGGGACTGGATGCTGCTGCTGGTGTCTCAGCAATGTGGATTGGGCTCTGATGCTGCTTTGTAGAGCTCTGCAGAAGTTGGGGTGGCAGCCAGGGACTGCGGCTGCTGCAAAGAACGATGTGCTGGGGATGTGATGCCAGGAAACAAGATGACATATAGGGATGAGACTGTAATTCAGCAAGTATACATCCAGAATAATTCCAGCCAGGGCTGCATTATGCGATGGGTGTGCTCAGAGCCTCTCAGTCCACTGTACTCCCTCCCTGCCCAGCCCACATGAGACCCACAAGGCTTCAGGAGGCAGTGAAGCCTGAAGAAGAGCATAGACTGAGAGAGAAAAGGACACCATCCCTCTTTAGTGTGTGAAATAAACCTTTATTTTGGAGCTGTGTTCTGCAGGTGGGAGCTGGCAGGGCTGCAGCACCTCGGGTGCCCTGCAGGGCTCTGGGGAGTCACTGTCAGCATCGGGGACCTCCGCAGGAGGCTGAGTGTAAATCTTCCCATCAGGAAGCTGTGATCCTCGACTTGGGTGTCCGCTCTGCATCACACAGCTTGAGGTTCCTTCTTTTTCTGAAGATTCTTAATTGCTTTCTTCACCCAAGGTGCGTTTGGTTTTGCACAGACCTTGATCCCGCCCTTTGTCTCAAACCTGCCAAAAGAAAAGGCCAAGGTTGGTGGGAAACAGCCACTGCCTTGTGCGCTTCTCCCCTCCTCCCTTCTCTGCACACCTCTTCCCTTTTCTCTTTGTCTCTACAGCAGGCACATGGTGCTCTATGAGCAGGCTGTCCTGAAGCCTCTAAATCCTGTGCACATCCTTTGGGAGCCCCTTTAGACTCTTGGCCTTATAGCCTTGCCCCATAGAAGTGACCAGAGAGTCATGTCCTCCCCTCTCTGTGCTGCAGACAGCCACTCTGCCACAAGCCATCCTTTAGATGGAGGCCATGCAGATTTGTCACCAGATGGAGTGGAGGGAAGGCACATACAGCGTCCCAGGAGACAGCACGGTGGTGGGGAAATAGCCAGGACTTACACAATTGCTTTCAGAAGACAGTCACTGGAAGTCTCATAGAAATTCTTCAGCACTTCGAACCGGAGTGCAGCTTTTGCGAGTGTGAAACAGCATTCTGAAGGTGCATATGGGGCTGGAGAAGAGAGAGAGAGAGACTGAGAATACAGGCTTTGGAAAGCAAGTCTTTCAGACCTATCCTCATAAGAAGGCTGATGCACACAATGTCCCCCAAATCCTGCAGCTGCCACCTTAAGGTGAGCTCCTCCTGCAGCAGGATGGTGCCCCACCAGCCCCATGCTGAAGCCACCAGCCCAGGCTGTCCCATCCCAACCAAGAGCCCTCGGGGCTGCCCCGTCCCCGCTGGGCTTCCCCATCCTCCCCAGTGGGACATCCCCAGCCCTGAGCAGGGCTCCTGCAGCCTCACCTGTGGAGCTGTGCTGGAAGATGCTGAGGAGCAGCAGGAGCAGCAGGAGAGGCTTTGTGCTGAGCATTGCAGCTGTACGTGGGCTCTTCCTTACTGCAGTGCTGCTGTGCCTCTCCTAAAGAGCTCTGTTATCTCGGCAGGGAGCTGCTGCAATTTATCTTCTCCAGCACCTCCCCATCTTTGCTAATTTTCCGATGAATTTCTAGTGAAAGCCCTGTGTGTTTTCTTAGAGCCAGGGGATTTACGTGTCACGTGGCAGCTCTCAGACTGCAGACAGAGATGATCCCTAGAAAGAAAGGACAAACGGACTCAGGCCACTTCTCTGTAAGTTGAATCTGGCCTGTGGGAAAGCCACAAAGCTGGAAGTGAAATCCTCCTCTATAGAAGCAGAGAGCAAAGGCCTTCAAAATCCACTGAGAGTGATTTTGTGGTGACAAGAAAGGCAATGCTGTGTTTTATGCACAAAGAAGCATTTCTGAGAGCCAGAAAAATGTTAAGGAGAAAGGGTGGATAGACTGGAGTCTTGCTTTTGAACATAAAAAATCCCCCCTCCATAATGCAAGGGTGCAAGAACACCTGGGGGCAGATGAACTCTCCCTTGTAGAGTGGTCTCCGCTGCTCAATCTGCATCCCATAGCCACAAGCAGAGATCAGAGCAATGCAGGAGCAGCCTCCCCACGTCGGGGTTTCCTGTGCCATGTTCCTTCCAGTTGCCCCACCCCAAAGGAAGCTCATGGCAAGAGATGCCATCAACTTCTGTGCCATTGGGACCTAAAGGATGAACTTGCCACTCTTTCAGTGCAGGGATTTGGGCTCAAAGTTTGCCTTTCTGGTGTCCTTTAGGGCCAGAACCTAACAGCAGATTGGAGATGGTCAGCAGATGCAGAGCAGGACACATTCCCACTCTGAGCCCAGGAGCAAGAACCTGTGAGCCCTGAGCGTGCAGCCAGCAACATGGGGATCCTCATCCTTCAGTAGGGAAACAGAGCCACAGCTTGGGGCACCACATCACTGCCTGTGCTTGTATCCTGCGGTGAGCATGCATGTGGGGATGGAGCTTGATGATCTGGGGCCCTTCCAACCCAAGCTGTTCCATGATTCCACGTGTCTGTGCACATCTCCCTGTGCAGAAATCACTTGGAAGGAGAAGATGCTGGATAAAATTTGAACAGCTGTCAGGGGTCTCCAGTTGGCCAAAGCATTGAGGAAACTCTGTCTGCTTCTTTCCTCATTAACAACTCTGCAAAATCACTCAAAGGGCCGAAAACACTCAAAGCAACATTTTGTCAGCTCGTATGTGAAGGACCCTAATAGGGAACCTTGAAAAACCCAGCAACCCTAGGAGCACAAGGTAGGCTGGACTAAAAATAGTGTGTTTCTAAATAGGTCATATAACTCTATATACAGCAGTGCTGTTCCTCCTGCCTTGTGTTCAACCCAGCGACTCAACATCTCCATGGGCTGCAATGAGTTCCCCATGCTACTGATCCCCAAAAGCATCTTTTCATCCTCCCACAGGCTTTGTGAGTCCTTCCTTCCCTTCTCAGCCATTTCCCCATCTCTGATGGGCCCCAAGCAAGAAGGAAGCATTTTTGGGGACTGGTAGGCATGACTTTGCTGCAAGCCCACGGCACGCCGCAAGCTGGGCTGGAGCTTCCTCAGCCAAGTGTGCAAGGGAGGACTGCAGGCACAGGGACACCCACACGTGGCTCTGGATGGAGCAAACCTGAGGAAATAAGCAAAATGAAGCAGGATCTGTGCTTGTTTTTCTGGCACTGCTTCCTCTTCCTCAGGTTTTCAAGTCACCCCTATCACAGCTGAACAATGCACAACTCCCTGGAGATGCCTGATGTTTATTCTTGAGGGGTTTTTTTGGAAGGAAAAGGCTGGTGTGCAATCATGAACTGAGGGATGCTGGAAAGTCCCACAGTTGGCTAACATTCCCTTTCCTTTCAACAGGCAAAGGAGAATTTGCTTGTTTACATGAAAAATAAACAGCATTAATAATAATTTGGTACTATGGAACATGGTTAAGTGGGTACTATTGGTGCTAAGTGTGCAGTTGAACTAGATCTTGGAAGTCTTTTCCAACTCTGGTGATTCTATGATTCTGCAAAAGGAGGAAGAGGGGAGCTTGGGGACACCTCAGGTGCAAGGTTTGCCAGCACCTGTATCACTGTGGGGAAGGATTTGGGCATAACAAGCTCAAATGGGGTCTCAGCAGATAATTGTGCTCTGCTGGAAAAACATTGTTGGGAGCAGCCATGCAGTTGTCACAATTCTCTGTGGCCCAGGCTCTGTTTTGAATCATGGCAGCTCCTAGGGACTGGAAAGTTTTAAAGGAGGAAAGCAAGAGTTCCTCCCAAAGCCTGCTTCCTATGGATGGACTCTGGGGACCACGAGTGCTGAAAGCTGGGGATCCACCAAAGCACATCCTGTGCAGAAAGTCCTGCCTGGAGCCATAATACACTGAGGCTGCAGGAAGGACGTGTCCAGGAGCCTTTCCCCAGAGGATCATCTGAGCAACTTGCCGCCACCGGCTCTTCCGTGTGCCCCAGAAGCCAGGAAGTCACCGCAGCCAGGCAGGAAAATAATCAGGTGATGACAGTTCTCTCCAACTGGGGCAGAAGAGTGACAGAGCTGGAGGGAGGATATGCCCACAGGGGTCCCTTCCACAGCCCCTGTGATTCTATGACTCTATGAGCACGCTCCAGGTTAACAAAGAAGAGTGGACCTGGGGTGTGAGGAGGAGCTGCTGCTCCCAACGGATAGAATCTCTGCTTCTGTGTATGATGGAAGCAGTGTTTGGTGAGGACTTCAGCCTCCTTTCCAACCCTGACCTTTCTTGAGCTCCTGGAGCTGGAACAGCAGTGAAGAACTGTCGTGCCCTTAGTGCCTTCCTTGCACCAAGGCTGTCCCTAACCAACAGCGTCGCTGGGTTCACAGCATCTGGGACATTCAAGAGAAAGAAGAAGTGACTGCAGTTGAAGGGGGATGGGGCTGCACCAAGACACAGCTTGGTAGGAGCAGCTCGGCCAGGAGAGGAACAGCTCCAGGAGAGAATCAAGGATCCCTGACAGAGACTAAAACACAGAGGGAGGTGAGAGACCTCAGAAGGGGCCATGCTCCATTCTACTAACCCAGCAGGTGCGGTACATTAGTTTGAGCTGCCCTACGTAAGTGCAGGCTGATGTAATATTTCACAGAAAAACCACAACACCAACCAGGGACAGGGCTGACATTTCATAAGTCACGGTCCATATCCCCAGAACACACAGTGACTTCACAGATGAGGTCATGTCCCACCAGATCTGAGCACAGCAGAGAGCCAGGTGCCAGCAACAGGGGCCACCAGCAGCCCCAAATACAGCAAAGTGAGGAATTAGTCCTGGATACATTTTAGGAGGTATGGAGCAGCAGGTCATGGATCCAGAGACACAGCCACAACACCAAGAGATCCATCCATCCATCCATCCATCCATCCATCCATCCATCCATCCATCCATC